TCCCAATCTTAACCGGAACTTGATTTTCACACTTTTTACCGCCAAATCTGCTTGGGCACTGACATATTGCTATATCAAAAGGCGATATGCAAGAGCCGCCGTTTAAACAGACCGTCCCAATGCACGGGTTCCGGGCTGTTTAGAAAAGTGAACAACCGCTACAACTGTTCATTTTATCAGTATGTTTACTCTTAACAGATTTAGTTAAGAAATGTGTGGAGTCTGTTATTAAATTAATTAATTAAATGATGATTTATGGAATGCGTAATTAAATCGATGAGCGAGTAAATAATGAATAAATCTGTGGATGGTTAGATGAACTAATAATTTTAAAATGTAAACGGTGGACAGATTAACGGATTAATTAACTAACTAAATAATAATTACAAAGTAAATGACTGATTATAACATATTCCTTTTTTTTTCGGCTAGTCCATGAATTGTAGAATGTAATGTTATCATTCTTTGCCTTCTTTTAAACTTTGCGTTTTCTTACTTCTCTTATGTTGGATACAGTATTTTTATTATAAATTTTATAAATTTTTTTTTTTTTTCGCGTTGTACGTATGTAGATTTAACTAGTCTTACAACAAAATAAAATCAAAATAAGTAACTACAAACAGACTTTAGATAAGGGTTTAAGTATAAAACTATGAGTACTCACATATAGGAGGATCCTGAAAGATTTTCAAACAAACAAGATCAATAATGTGAATGCAAATGTTAATTTTAAATCATCTACAATTCCCGCGTTGGTTCTGGGTCATATTTTGGGAGAAAAATAATTTTACTGGCTTAGTCTAAATGTATGTGTCGGTTATCAAAATGTACAGTGTTTACTAGATCTTTACAGACACTGGCCAGCAGGTCTGTCTGCTAGTGTTGCTGTTGTGTATGTGTCCTCAATTCTTCTTCTTCTTTTTCTTCTTCTCCTCCTCCTAATCACTCTCCTCCTCATCCCTCTCTGCTCTGCTTCTTCTTCTTCTTCTTATTTTTATTATTATTATTATAATTATTATTATTATTATTATTATTATTATTATTATTATTATTATTATTATTATTCTGCTTCTTTTTTCTACTTCTTCTTCTTGTTTCTTTTCTTCTTCTTCTTCTTCTTCTTCTTCTTCTTCTTCTTCTTCTTCTTCTTCTTCTTTTTCTTCCTCTTCTTCTTCTTCTTCTTCTTCTTCTTTTTTTTCTTCTTCTACTTCTTCTCATCCTCGTACTTTTCCCTCTCCTCCTCATCCTCATCATCTTTCTTCTTTTTCTCACTATTATTAAAATTTTTATTATTGCCCTCCTTCTCCTTCTGGTTTATCGGCTGCAAACTCGGTGAAAGGTTTTGGTTGTTCATTCACTTGTTGACTTTAGTCTTATTCTTAACCTGTTTTGCGAGCGCATTAGTTTTCGCAGATTTGTCTTTTTTTGTATGCAGACTGCTGGTTCCTCACCTCTTAGGCATATGCACTCTGACCTCAAAGGGATTAACCCTAATTAGTCGACTCGTACGACATACTTCTAAGGGGGCAGTGGGTGTATTAGCCCTCCCCCCACCCCACCCTCCCCCTTTCCCCAACAACAACAGGGCACTGGAACCCACACGGGAGTAATCCATTCAAGGTAAGTTTGTTTTTTTACCCCTCAGTGATCAATCACAGGTAAACATAATTCAAGATATATTAAAGTAATGATTAATACAAATCCTTCTTCTTCTTCACGCCAGCTTGTATCGCTTTGGATGTCAAGGGAGATACAAGGATCTGTTTCTTGTAATTCTGGCCGCCTGGATCATAGACACGTCGTGCTGTTGTAGGGGTTCTCATGTGGGTGGGCGTGTGTGTGTGTGTATCCGTGCGTGCTTGCGTGCGTGCGTGTGTGTGTGTGTGTGTGTGTGTGTGTCTATACTTTGACATTACTATAGTCGAATTCCGTTTGATCAGTCCTTCTGTACTTAACTGTTTTCTTTGTAACGATAATAAACCCATTGCCGCTTTGCTAGGCCTGTCGCAACTGTACCAGAATTCCATTGGCCAGGATGATTCAGGATGACCCAGGACGGACTTCATGGCTACCGTGGCTGCCCTGGCAAAAATTCTTACAATCCGCTACTTTGTCTTGTTTACCGCCTCGCACCAAACGGACGTGAATGAACCTTAGGATACGCTTCTACAGTCCGTTCCAAAAGTCCTACCCAACAAAAATCTGTAACTCAGTAACTGTTCGGTATACTCACACCCTATTAATAATCATGTCCTTTGAGGATTTTTTATTTTTTATTTTAATGTAAGGAAACATTTATAGTCCGTTCCAAAAGTCCTGCACAACTGCAGAAATCTGAAACTCGGTAACTATTCAGTGTAAGTTGTCGAAATTTGGGCCGCAGCTTGCTAAAATCATGTCCTTGTAAAAAACAAAATTTAGTTCCATATTAACAAACATTTAGTTTTCAGTCTGCCATATGTGCGGTAGAAAAAGAAAAAAAAATAGTCCCTCATTTAAAGCAAATAAACTGTATGCTTACAGTAATTTTAGTAAACTGGTTAAGGGGAACTTTACAAAACTTCAAATTGCACATATTTCATAAGATTTCGCTCTCAGGTCGTTATCTACAACATTAATCTCCCGTGAGCTGCCTATTTTTCATTGTATACAGAAATATTTATCAAAATATTCAGCATTCATCGCTGCACACGTGATCTGATTTTGAAACAATTTCTTCACGTGTGTCAATGATTGTATATAATATTTTTAATGATACAGAAATTATAAGTCAAACAGAGTTCACAGAAATTCGTCGCTTTAAAGAAATCGCAGCCCCTGTAGAATTTAAATAATAAAATCATAAGAACGTGAGATATCGTTTGATTCGTATAGGAGCTTACGAGATATCAGTTTAGGTCTGAGGGCGTGAATTTGAAACGTACTATAAAACAGTGTTTAGTATGAAATCTGATGGTACAGTTCTGAAACAATAATATAAGAAGAACTCCACAGGGGAAGCATGCACTGCAGGAGTCCATCGACCATCATCAGAAAGATCCCTTGTCGACGATTGTTTCGGCCCAGTACTTCCTATATAATCTCGAAAGGTGGGCCGACCTGGTTCATGGCGCCAGGCCTCGATCTTCCCCTGCTGCACTGTATCTGAACTTCAGACAGGACAAGACCTTTGCAACAAGTGAGATTTGGTGCTATATATATATATGTGTGTGTGTGTGTGTGTGTGTGTGTGTGTGTGTGTGTCGCTGCGGTAGCAAATTAGCTGAACTACCTTCACGACCACAGTGACACGCTTACGGTTATTTCATTGATCAGGTGTTAAACCTTGGCAAATATCAGAAAGACACTGGCTGACATTTATCTGGCACTTTGACGTTTAGGGATGATAAGCTTTTTTTCCACCAGTGGCACGGACCAGTCTACCGAGTTCCATCGCTCACGACGTTCCTTTGCGTCAAAAGCCAGCTCGAAGCCCTTTCCGCTACTTAGCCCAGTTGTTTTAGTGACATTTAAAGCGTTTTCCTAGCAAACCCAGCTGCTTTAGTACATTGTGTGTGGAAGTGGAAATAAGTCCACTTGTGCCTTCGTCGCCTGCAAAGATTTTTACTGTGCACGCTACATCTCTTCTCAGACTGGCTACCAGGGCAACGTACTTTTCCAGCTTATACAGGTGATTTTTATCCATCCGCGACTCATAGTCTGATCTCAGGCCTGTCTTTCGGACTGATTCTGAGTTCCTTTTCAAACCAAACAGGTCGACGGCCAGTAACTAGTCCCTCGCACAGTCAAGTTGGAGCGAATGCGCCCTTGTTGACTTTACCTTTAGAGATCCAGTGGTCCCCAATCTGAAGGCCTTGCCCGGAGCCGGAAGCCATGTCTAACATGACCTGCATAGCGATAACAAACATTGTTTTCGTAATCGTAACACCCAGTTCCCTTTCCCCCCTCCCCTCTTTCCCCCAATTGCTATCCCAGTCTGAAGCTCAGTCCAGTCATAATGCAGTTTTTACCTCGATCTAAAGGTTGTAAAGTTGTTGTTGTTGTCGTCGTCATCGTCGTGACAGTGCCTAAAAGAATAATATACTGACATTCAATAAAAATCAAATTTATAAACCTATTATTTTCTGTTAATATTTTAGGCAGTGTCTACTTAAACAACCTTAAACAACAGGGAAGGTAGTTTTTTTTTTGTGCCATTACACAATATCCTAACGCGTTAATATATTAACACATATTGATTTACCTGGGCGAGCACACCTGCTGCTGCTAACAGTAGAAACACCTGTGCAACAAAAGAAACATAAGATACATATAAACTGCTGTAAACATGTTTTGAAACGAACAAAAATAACACAGAAAAGGACGGTGTTGAAATGAGCGCGTGAATTGAATAACAATAAATGTAGGTCCCTCTGTGGCTTAGTGAGTAGGTCGTCCCTCCCCCGTTCGCCAAAGTAGATGTTTTGGAGATCCTGTGGGTCGTTGCTGGAGTTATGGAGTGCGGATTTATGCAGCCTCACTTTAAGGAGAAAGACTGAACAAAATGATATTCAATCTTCTATCCTCTCGCCTGTAAAAAGTGTGTTTAATAAACCAACACCTTCTAATCACCTTTTGAACGTCATCGCTCTATAGCAGTAGTTAACAATTAACTCAGACCTGAGGACCTCTCTTTCATTCGAAGGTCACCCATAAGAGAAATAAAAGAATACTTTTTCTAGCCTGTGGTATCAGATGTTCTCCGTTTAACTCTTTCATTACCAGACAAGGCACCATATGTTTCTTAGTAAATCTAAATATAATGTTTTCTCACTTTCTTCTATCACAGGCAAATATTAAATTAACCTTTTGTATCTGACATATTAATTTAATTTCTTTTATTCAATAGTGTTTCTTTTGAACTACTTCAGACATAAGCATTAATTGCTCTTAAGCTCACCACCGGGGGAGAAAATATTTTAGTAACAGCTGCTTGAGATTTCAAGCGTTATCAAAAAGGCGGTTTTTAGCTTCTTCGTTTCTATTCTTCTTATACATCGTTCATTAAATGGTTTTCGGGGACCTAGTAGCATAAATAATATGCATCGTAATATAATTATAATATAATAATATAAAATAATATGCATTATGAACAT